GGAGGGAGACGGCAAAGCCTCAGCCCCTCGGCTCCCAGTCCTCCTGTGCTGGCAGCGCCGGGAACCGCGCAGCTGAGGGCCACAGACGTTGGCAGTGCTGGCAGCCGTGTGCTCAAAAGGCCACTTAAAGAGGACATTCACAGATGAAAACAAGCCCGTGGCCAGGCTGAAATCTTCCACTGAGTCTGAAGCAGAGCTGATCGGTAAGCGTTGCAGGGCAGAGTCCCCCAGGGACACCCTGCCTTGCTTCTCTGCGAGGTTCACAGTTCTCCTTTTGCCTGTTTCTGGAGCAAACAGAGCCAGGCCTGCCTGGATTTCCTCTTACAGCGCTGCGGTTCAGGACTACGTCAGCTTTCAGTTGCAGTCCTCTTAAAGAGATGGGTCTGATTAAACACACTGAGCGATGCTGGTGGCACTGCCTTGTCTTTCTTGGGAAGAACTTGGTATCCTGGCCAGCTGGCACAGTTCTGGGCTACTGTGCACCACAGCAGCGTGCAGGGGAGAAGGGCAGCCCTTCCTCTGGCCAGGATTTCCTTTCCCTCTTGGATGTTGTCCGGTGGGAAGAGTGTGGCTATGCACATGATAAACCTGCACAAAGTTGACAGCTACCCAAGCATGTGGACCTCAGTCACCTTCCCCTCACTCCTCAGGCAGCACATGCCCGTTGTGGATATGTGGAGCAAAAGCAGATCTGCAGAGCTGCTGGGATTGGGGTAGAGACGTGGTGGTGGCTTGGCACCCTGCTGCTGCTGCTCCTGTCCCCAGCTGTGGAGAGACTGCTCTCTGCTCTGCTCTGCAGAGATTTTCATGCAACCTCCAAATACCAACATGTTCCTGCCATTGCAACTGCCTCTTCCCAGCTCTGGTTCCCTGTAACTTTGTCTGAGGTTCCCACTTTCCTCAAGAAATAAGACTCTCCAGCAAGAATGAGATTGTGCTGGAATGCCTGATCGCTGCCGTTACCAGCTATGCCTGAGCTCCCTGAACTCTCCTCCCGCCCCGAAGGCTTCCATGGTCTGGTTTAAACTGGGCTGACTTAGCTGGTGAGGTGACGGCTGTGGGAGTGCAGGTGTCCTGGGGTTCCAGACAGACACACAGGTCTTATTATCCTCCTCTCTGAGCTTTGAATACTGGGTGAGAATTTGTAGATTCAGCACAAAGTATTGTTTTTAGGGCTGAAGCTGTGCTGGGACACGCAGGGAGTTATGACACATCCCAGGGCGCCTCCTGTGTCCAAGGGTGGTCTGGGGGGTGGCTCTGAGCCTGCCTGTGATGCAGAAACTCCTCCGACCCCACAGCAGCCCACCGGTGAGCACCTCGGGTGCAGCACGGACCTCCTCCCTGCTCACCCTGCAGAACCGTACGGCGCGGGAGGCTGTGGAACCGCTGCCAAGCGGGGCTGTCCCACCAGCTCCACAGGGAGCGTGTGCCCGACCGATAGCACGTCTGCAAAGGTCAGGAGATAAGATTTGGGCTGGGAGGTTGGGAGCTTTTTCTCCTGAAACTGAACTGCATGAAGACAAGGTGAAGGTACGTGGTGCACGCAATCACCTCCAGGCAGAAGACCAGCTGCCACCGGAGCAGGGGCTGACTGCCCGGCTGATGCCTTTCTTGCATTCTGGAGTACTGATGTGCATGGGTGTTGCAAGGAATTTTGTAGGAAAAGGAGTGGTGGGTGTGCACGGGCACAGGTGGAAGCAGCAGGGGCTGTAGTTTAAAAGTGAAAGGTGCAAGGGTGGGATGCGGCCCCGGCTGGCTGCTGGCACATGTCAGCTCTTGTCACTGTGGAGGGGGTGGCCCGTGGCTGCAGCGGCGGTGGGGACCCCTTTCTTCTGCTGGTGCCCAGGCTGGCAGATGCCAGGAGCGCAGCCTGAGGTCTCTCTGCCAGGGACGGCTGGCATGCTCTGTCTGGGGACCCAGCCCTGGCAGAGGTGAGGGTGCCGGGAAGTTCTCTCAGGACACAAAAGGAGTGAAATCCAATTACGCATCGTACGCGCGCCCGTGCAAACACCCCCACGGAAACACACGTTGCGCTGAACCTCGGCAGCCTCTGGTGTGCGTCTCCCTGTGCTGTCGCTGCCGAGTTCCATCCTCTCCGGAGCCTCCCGCTGTGCTTCACAGCCCTCCCCATCCCCGGGGGGGGGCAGCTCCGATCCTCAGCGTGTGGCACAGCCGATGTGGCCAAGGGGGCACCCACTGGGTGTATCTTTAAAAGCACGCCTGGCTCGGAGCCCTGACCCGCCTCTGGGCTCAGCGTCACCATCTCTTCCTCCTCTGCACAGCTGAGTTTCTTTTTCCGCGGTTCCTTTCCCCGTGTCGCCCTGATCTTGGCGCAGGCAGGATGGCGTCGCAGAAGCTGGAGGAGACGCTGGTGTGTTCCATCTGCCTGGAGCTGTTCAGGGTGCCTGTCACCTTGCCCTGTGGGCACAACTTCTGCAAGCGTTGCATCAACGACCATTGGCACAAGCAAGAGCAGGTGCCCACTGAGGCCAAGAAGGGCTACGTGTGCCCCGAGTGCCGCAGGGGCTTCGAGCGGCGCCCGCAGCTGGAGAAGAACGTCACCCTGTGCAGCGTGGTGGAGCTGGCACGGGAGGGTGAGGTGCGGGTCCCAGGCAGCGAGAGGGGCGAGGTGGCCTGTGGTGAGCTTTGCCCGCAGCACGGGCGCCTGCTGGAGCTCTACTGCGAGGACGAGCGGCGATGCATCTGCTGCGTCTGCACCATCCGGCAGTGCCAGTGGCACCGGAGGGTGCTCTTCGAGGAGGAGCGCTCTAAAAAGGAGGTGGGGATGATGGGTGGCAGAACCGGGGTGGTGGTGGGGGTGTAGGGGGAGATGCAGCAGCTCGGGCACGGCACGACATAGAATCAGAATCGTAGAATGGTTTGGGTTGGAAGGGACCTCAAAGATCATCTAGTTCCAGCCCCCATGCTGTGGGGATGTGATGTGCCTCCATATGCCGAGCTGTGCCCGGCCTCAGCTGAACAGGGGGCTGGCACGGACTCTGGCTGGAGAGATGCCACCAGCACCCAGTGGCTCCCTGAGAAAGTGGTGGCTGTGGGGAGCAGCAGAGCTGGGTAAATCCAGCAGCACCAGGTGAACGGTGCCACGTGTGTTTGTGACCCCCTTGTCCTCATTTCAGCTGGGATAGAGTTAATTTTCTTCCAAGTAGCTGGCACGGTGCTGCGTTTGGGATTTAGGGTGAGAATAGTGCCACACCACACTGATGGTTTTGTTGTGCTAAGTAATGCCTGTGCCAAGTCAGGGGCTTTTCAGCTTCCCGTGCTCTGCCAGCGAGGAAGTGCACAAGAAGCTGGGAGGGAGCAGAGCCAGGACAGCTGCTCCAAACTGGCCAAAGGGATGTTTCATACCATATGGCGTCATGCTCAGTATATAAACTGGGGGACAGTTGTCCAGGGGGTGGGATCGCTGTTCGGGGACGAGCTGGGCATCGGGCAGTGGGTGGTGAGCAACCGCACTGTGCATTACTTGCCTTGTATATTCTAGTTTTATTTTTTTCTCTTCCTTTGCTGTCCTATTAAAGTGTCTTTATCTCAACTCAACAAGTTTTTTCCAACTCTCTTCCCCATCCCGCTGTGGGGGAAGGAGCGAGTGAGCAGCTGCGTGGTGTTTAGTTGCTGGTTGGGGTTAAACCATGGCACCCCCTGATCCAGAGGAAATGGCTAATGAAGGGGTGAAAGGCAGCACAGGGTTTCACTTCTCCGTGACCCTGGACACAGCCTCTCCCCTTCCCAAGCCTGCTCCTTCCCTGCAAGCCTCATCCTGCGGCCCTGTGCGGGCGCCCGGGGCTGGGTGGGCAGCAGCGTGCAGTACTGCGGGATGTTGGTGGTCCCTTTGCAGGCACTTCTGAAGGAGTCCCTGGAAAAAGCCGAGGAGGAATCGGAGAGGATCGAGCGGGCGATACAGGAGCTGGAGGAGCAAACACGCAGCATCAAGGTAACGTTGCGGCCATCTCCGTGCCGGGCGTGTGGGTGGGAGCGTGCTGGCTCTCACGGCTCTTCCCTGCCCAGGACTCCTCCGAGGGGCTCAAATCAGTGATTCTGAGCAAATTCACCCTCCTGCGGGAAGCCCTGGAGGATTTCCAGTGGCGGACGGTGGCCAGGATTGAGCAAGAGCAGTTGGCAGCGCTGGAGCGCGTAGGGGAGGACTGGAGCCTCCTGAAGGACCGGCTGGATGTGCTGGGCCAGCACAGGGAGAGGGCTCAGCGCCTGCTCACCTGCACTGACCACAGGACCTTCCTCCAGGTACCGTCCCGGCCCCGCACCCTTTTGGTGAAGGCAGAGACATGGTCCACCCCTTCCCCAGGGGGGATGGGCGCATCCTCAGCCCAGCTACGGGGTGTGCTGGGGCTGCGGGGAAGAGCTGCTTTCGAGGGGATCCCTGAAAAGTTTGGGAGGTGATGCAGGATCGGAGCCGATGGTGTTGCCCACAGGGCCATGGGAAGCATCTCCCACCCCCAAACCTCTCAGCAAGGCTCTTCCACCACAAGCAAGATATGAGATCTTGTGCTGCAGCTCCTCTGCTCCCTGCAGCCTCACGGTCACCCTGCGGCTGTCCCCTGTCCTGTGCTCCAGCCACAGCTCACGGCGGACATTTTAGGGATGGCCCCGTCACCCACTGGGGAGATGGGACATGTATGGATGGGATTCAGAGCTGCCGATCCTCCCCAGGCCACTGCATGGGTGTCTGTGTGTCTGTCTGCAGGAGTTCCCCCTGCTCCCCTCTCCAGAGAGCCCAGAGGTGCTGCTCCCTGGGGAGTTTGATGTGGCCGGTGTGATGAAGCCCATCACTGAGATCCTCACCAACATCTCCAGGCTCCTGCTGGAGAACCCGCCCGGCTCTGTGGCTCCCAAAGCCCCTGATCCCATTGGACAAGGTAACAACCCTTCTGCTCAAAGGGCTCCAAGTCATCCTGAACCACAGCCTGGCCTGTGTCACTGTGCTTGGGACACAGCTGCCAGGGGCAGGGGGTTGGGATGGGGACATGGATCTACCATTCAGCAGATGGGCGTCAATGGTGTGGAATGAGCTGGGTGGCTTCCCTGTGGCCCCTCCTTGCTGGCAATGCCAAGCTGCGGTAGCACGTGCCCGCTCTCAGGCTTGGATACGATGGAATTCCTCCTCCTCCCATCGAAGCCAGGAAGGGACAAGTTTTTGGGTGGCATCACTCAACATGCCTGTCCTCGTCCTCCACAGGTCCGGTGCATCCCCAGGAGACGGTGATGAAGGTGGTGGCCCCTCTCCCCGAGTGTGAGCTCCGAGCTGAGCTTCTGAAGGGTGAGGAGCACAGGGCGGGTCTGGAGGGACAGCACCCCACCAGGGCACCCAGCAGGCAGAGGTTTTGCCAAGCCGAGCTCTTCCCTGGGAGGAGGGTGGCGTGGTTGCAGTGACAGGGGCTCCTTCCCTGCCTCTTCCAACCCTTCTCCCTGAATGTGGAGAATGGTGTTGCAGGGCCGGGGTGAATGGGCTGGGGGACACTGCGTGGCTGGAAAGGGGTTCGTCAGGAGCATTAGCGGCACTGGGGAACACTTTTCTGTGGAAACTGGGGCTGCCAGTGCTTGGCACTGGGTCGGTTGCTGCCCCAGACCTTGCTCCGTCTCCATCCTCTCCTTTTCACCCGCCTTGGGCATCTCGCCCGGGCAGGAGCGACGTGCCTGTTCCCAACGACCCATATTTAGACACAGCGCTTTCCCGCAGGCGGGCAGACAACGTCAGCAGCCAGCGAGCCAGCACCCACAGGGATGTGCCATGGGCTGCCCCAGCTGCCTCGTATGGCACAGCACCAGTGCAGACCCTCTGCCCGCGGACCCCCTGCCCACAGACCGCCTGCCTGCAGACCCCCTGCCTGCAGTCGTTACTCTCTATCCAGGGATCTGACCCCAGCACTCCCAGTCCTTCATGTCTCCTTCTCTCCCTGGGCCCATCCCACTCCAGTTCCTTAGGGATTTCCTTAACGCTCCTTTTCTCATCTCCTCCCTGCTGGGAAGAGTGTTGGGTGACGTTTAGGGCATGTTTGCAGTGTCGCTCTTGCCAGGGAGGCAATGGATGCCTATGGGAGCTGTAAGGGTTCCTTCCATCAGGCTGCACAAAACATTCTCAGGGTTATTAATAGGAAGAAAACTGTGATTTATGGGCAGCAGGCAGGAGCCCCTCCACGCGGGCTGTGAGCTGGGCTGCGTGAGGCATCGCGTTTTGGTGCTTCCACGGCTCTTTCTGGGTGGTTACCATTCCTTCTGGCAGGCGAGCGGGCAGGTATCCCACCTCACCCACTCCTCCTCCCCTCCAAACGTGCTCCAACTTATTCCCTTCTGTTCTGGGAGCCAGCCCTACGCAGCTTAAACTGCGTCACTGTTGGGGGGGCTCATGCCAAGGACATGAAGGTCCGATGAAGCATTTCAACCCCATCCATGCCATTGCTCTTCCCAGACCACCGCAACCTGACCTTCGATCCCGAGACGGCCAACAAGTACCTGGAGCTGTTGAAAGGTAACCGGAAAGCCAAGCACGGTACTGGCACCGTCTGTGGGCAGCAGGACGGGGGCCCCCGCTTCGAGCCCTGGCAGGTGCTGTGCACGCATTTTCCACTACTGGGAGGTGAAGATCTCCAGCCACTCCGTCATCCTGGGGGTGACCTACCGCAGCCTCCCCCGGCAGCGGCAGCAGGGCCACAAGTTCACCATCGGGCTGGATGGGGGCTCGTGGGGGCTGCAGGTGCGGGAGGATTGCTACCTGGGCTGGCACCAGGGCCGGGCAGAGAAAATCCAGGAGCGGCTGTATAAGAACCTGGGGGTCAGCCTGGATTACGGCAAGGGGCTCCTC